AGCGCTATTGATGATCCCCTCGGTTGCAGATGCATATAGCGCGTGTATATATCGCTTGAATAGTCCATATACTCGTAGGTAGGCTTTCAAGTTCTCGATTAGGATGCATACAATGTATTCCGTACGGGTTGAAACTGCTGCGTAGGCGACAATTCTTCGAGCTCTGTCGAGTTTCAATCGATAGCATCTCAAACGAGTACCGCCAAACCCTTCAAGGTTTCATGGCGCTCTATTCCCAACCGGCTTACCTCCCACACAAGGCCCAAGGTGTGAGCGATACTATTCGCACAAACCCAGCCGAGTGTCTCAGTCGCGATCACGGGATAAGCGGCCTAACCAATTCTCCTCATCCAACCGCATCCTGGAAGACTCTCAGTGGGAAACCAAGCCACCGTCCGGTCCGCGCACCGAGCTTCTGGTGATAGGTGGCAAAGCCCAGTATAGATGGGTTAGTACGGCCAATTCTGGTCTTACGATGAACAACAACCTCCTATAATTCAGTAATGTGCTTTATCCAAGTCGGACAATCCATTGTCTTTGCAGTTGATCGAAGGGGAGTAAGTCCGAATTCACCATCTCAACTGAGAAAGAAGTTTGGATATGGGTAAGAAATGCTCATCCGTTTGTAGTGAAAGGGTGTGTCGTACAAGAGTGCCGAAAAGAAGGAGAGGGGGACGGGAGGAAAAGGTGAGAATTTACTTCCGATAGCTAACCTAGCTTCCCCTTGCTGTGTAATGGACCACGGTGGCGTGCATTTTCCTAGAATTCTTTTTCTAGACTACGGAGGACCATGCAGGTTTATCGCAGATGCATCATGCATATTTCCATATATAGATCACCGCCACTAGGGAATTCGGGGTGGGTAGTGTTTGCATTTCTGTTTGGAATCGGGGTCTAATGGAATACTGTCAATGTATTTTTATGGTTGAGGTGATGCGCATTATTCTCAATCTTGGGAATCTTAGAGGGGGGGGGGGGATTCCTACATCTTCTATTATTTATATACCGATCGTCACTCCCCTCAACCGATGCCCGAATAGTTTATCTGTTTCAAATGGGAACTGTACCGGGTATATTCCAGTTGCAGCCCGTCCATGGTGTGACTTGACGCTTGTCCCCGGACCGTTAGCGGTCAGTGATGATTGGCGAATAAACCACGCTTGGCTCTCGGTGGGCGGTGGATCGGGTTTTTCCGTTCCACGGCAGCTGCTTTTCTTTCCAGTCAACCCCCCTGGATGATCGTACTGAGTGGTATCGTGGTTACGCGTCAGATGAGAACCCGGAAACATGTGCGCCAGTCCAGATGAATGTGTATGGTTGGTGTGTGTCTGTGTGGCATAAGTTGTGTCCAGCCTCTCCTCCTCAAAAAAAATAGCTGCAGTGTATCTATCTGTCCTGATGAAACTAGATGGAATGCCAGCGGATGGTGGTTGGAAAGTAGGCCATAGGCCATGGGCCGATAATCTTCTTTGATCAGCACCGCATGATATATCTTACCAATCACACCACAACCATACAGATGCAAAAGGAGACAAGCAAACTTGACGCAAGAAAGAGGTTCGCACTCAATCAATGGCTGGCGTTGACCTATCTCGGGTGATGCACAGTGCATATAATATGGCACGGGTCAGTTCAGGAGGAGTTCTCCTCTTTCTTAGTACAGCTCCAACCCACTCATCTACATTGGGAACAAGTATCGCGGCTTGTTGGAATGGTTCCAGGTTTCCCCACGATTCGTCCCCTGGTAGGTGTGGTATACTATACCCTGGGGTAAAATGGCTTCTTTCTTACCGTGGTTTTCTGTTATGCTAGCCATGCTTCAATCGTAAGGAAGAGCAATGTGCTGATTTGACAGGTCTCGTGGAGATGAGGAGTGCTGGTAGACTGCAAGAGATCAAGAAGCCCAGCCTGGGATGGTTGGTGAATGATTTGCCAGGGGGACGGTCGAACAGGTTGAGATTAAGAAAACGTAGGCACTGTCTTCAAGGTGAGCCCCAATTGTACTCTGATAAGGCAAGATAACCCCAGGAAGATGGACTTGAGCTGTTAATCGGCGGTTGAAGTCTAAGTCATCCAGACCTGATTAGAGTGCAAAGTGGGCAGGTGAAGTGGTCGGATTCAATGAAGAAGGAGTATCAGTGGCCGATTGATCTTAGTCGGACCATAAGGTACTGTAGGTTAGTAGTAAGTTGATTAGACTAAGGCCCATAATGTTAGTAGGTGTACTCCGTAGTAGTAGAGACAAAGAGAGGCAATGAGGTTTCCCCCCCCCTTTCTTTTCCACTCACTCATTTACTTACTGTACTGTACTGCACTCGGGCAGGGCCACCAAACAGTCTGGCTCCAACGACCCGAGACTAAACAATCCATCTCTCCCCTCCCCCCCCCCAATCCATCAACTCCGCAAGACCCAATCGCTCTCGCTCCTCCTCCTACTTTGTCCTCCACCTCCGTCCTCCTCTTCTTCCCCTGTCTCTCCAGTAAGTACTACACTGTTCTCTTCCCTCTTTCTATCTACACTTTTCTTTTCCTTCGCCTTCCTCCCAGTTTTTGTTTTTAGAATTTTCATCTCAGCCATAATTTGTTGGCGCATTGCTTGCTTGCTTGCTTGCTTTCAAGTCGTGCTTCCTAAATCTCCCCTTGATTTCCGTCCCATCCCTTTTACTCCTCCTAAACCCTCCACCCCCCGTGATTGACTGAACCTCAACCCTTTTCCACATTGATCCATTACCCCAGGTAGGATTGCCTTCGCCTTCCCTTGGACTCGCCTTCCCTTTCCTTGTCGTTTCTCAGCCAGACTGGGAAGTGACACTGTCATTCCTATCTCGTTGGCTTCCATTATTACCTCCGGCTCCTTCCCCTTGATTGCATCCTGCAAGGACTCTATCGCTAACCAAGAAGGCGCAACCTCTTCAGGGGAAACTTCCTCTTCGACGCTCGCTACCTCCCTCTACGCTCGCTTCAAAATCCTCCACCTTAAAACTTCCACAATGGGTAAGCCTGTCATCTATGACACCTTCTCCCACCACCCTGCAGTTCCGTGCTCTCGTTCCCATCCGATCTTCCAATCCAACCCTTGCCCTGTGCCTACCTCGAAATCCTCGCGCACCGTGAAAGAACAATGCCTCCTGTCAGGAATCGGAGTGCGGATGGCCGCTCGCAAGGGGACTCCGAAACTCTAGCACCCTCACCTCAGAAGAATTCACCGAAGCCTAAACGTCACTCGTTCTCGCCTGTCCTGGGACGCCTGTCTTCAGAAAGTGACAGTCAAGAATCTGAAGCGACGACTGCTAACTCTGTCCCGCACAATGTAGCCACACCCCCTCCTGCACCTGCTGCCAATGGCACCCCGGTCTCTGCCTCACCCCCCAGCAGCAAGCCCAGCTCGCCTTTCGTTGAACGCAGCAACCCCATGGGCTCCGGGGCTGCTCAAACCGTCAGCTCCAAAGATCCCAAGGCTGCTGCTCAGGCGGCTACGGATATGAAGAATGTCGTTCGCCGGAAGTTGACAGGCTATGTTGGTTTCGCCAACCTGCCGAATCAGTGGCACCGCAAGAGTGTTCGCAAGGGCTTCAACTTCAACGTGATGGTTGTCGGTAGGTCTTGATTCCGGTCTAATGCTTGGACGTTATTTGACACGCATTGCAGGTGAATCTGGACTCGGAAAGTCGACTTTAGTGAACACCCTCTTCAACACCTCCCTCTACCCCCCTAAGGAACGCACCGGACCTAGCCACGACATTATCCCTAAGACGGTCTCAATTCAGTCCATCAGCGCCGATATCGAGGAGAACGGCGTGCGCCTGCGCCTGACGGTCGTTGACACCCCTGGATTCGGTGATTTCGTGAACAACGACGACTCGTGGCGCCCTATTGTCGAGAACATCGAACAGAGATATGATGCCTACCTTGAGGCCGAGAACAAGGTCAACCGTACCAACATTATTGATAACCGTATCCACGCATGTGTCTACTTCATTCAGCCCACCGGTCACTCGCTGAAGCCTCTGGATATTGAGGTTATGCGCCGGTTGCACACCAAGGTCAACCTGATCCCTGTGATTGCCAAGGCTGATACCCTAACGGACGAAGAAATTGTCGCCTTTAAGCAGAGAGTACGATGATCTCTACGCCTCCTCCCTGCTGATCGATAGCTAACCTGGTTTTTCAGATTCTTGCCGATATTCAGCACCACTCCATCCAAATCTTTGAGGGTCCTCGGTATGAGCTCGACGATGAGGAGACCATTGCTGAGAACCAGGAGATCATGTCCAAGGTTCCCTTCGCCGTGGTTGGTGCCAACGCCGAGGTTACCGCCGCCGATGGCCGTAAGGTCCGTGGACGTAGCTACCCTTGGGGTGTCATCGAGGTCGACAACGAGGAGCACTGCGACTTTGTCAAGCTCCGTCAGATGTTGATCCGTACCCACATGGAAGAGCTCAAGGAGCACACGAACAACAGCTTGTACGAGAACTACCGTTCCGACAAGCTTACCCAGATGGGTGTCGCCCAGGACCCGAGCGTGTTCAAGGAGGTCAACCCGGCTGTCAAGCAGGAGGAGGAGCGTGCTCTCCACGAGCAGAAGCTCGCCAAGATGGAAGCGGAAATGAAGATGGTCTTCCAGCAGAAGGTGGCAGAGAAGGAGAGCAAGCTGAAACAGAGCGAAGACGAACTATACGCACGACACCGCGAGATGAAAGACCAATTGGAGCGTCAACGCCTGGAACTAGAAGAAAAGAAGGGCCGTCTGGAAACAGGGCGACCCATCGAAGAGAAGGGAAAGAGGAAGGGATTCTCTCTTCGTTAAACGAACGCACGCATGACCGGTGCTTCGATGCTCCTATCCAGGGGCTCTGCCAATGGGCCACCCAGGGTACGCATGGTCGTCGGAGGGCGCTTTGGTGGTTTGACGCATACTTCTCCACGACTGTCGATTGGCCGCACGCTCTTTTTAGCCGCCTGCCTTCTTTTTCTCTTGTGTTTATTCGTTCTCTCAACCCCCACACTCTCTCGAACCTCTACTTTTCTCGTATCTGCTTTCAGTGATGACTCTACACTGATTGGGAGGACCAAAGAAAAAGAATATCTCATTTTTTTCTTCTCTCTACTCTAAAACCCATTTAATTCCGAACTGGGGCTTGACTAGGAGACAGGAATTACAAGGGCTATATCCGACTCAGTGCTCTATTTGGATGGTCAGTGGTCTGGCCCTGGATGGGCAAGACGATGCACGGGGAGACGGCCTGCAGGATCACTTCAGGGTCGAAATTCACTGCTTCATGTCCACTCTTCGCTTCTTGTTATGTACTTTTGCCTACGCTATACCTTGTTCCCGCCTATTTCCTATTCCCCACCCTTTTCGTGGCCTGGTTCTATTACTTCTATTTATCTTCGGTACACTTTTTGCCTCTTCTACACATTTTAGTGACATCGCCTACCCCCGACCATCTTTTCTGGACGTTTTTCCTTTTTATTCCTCCATGTTGTTTTCTTGTTGTGTTAGTTGTCAATCTGAAGTTTTACCGAAAAGCGAACGGAAGTATTACCGAGGCTCTAATTGTGGCGTAGCCAGCTGCGATGCAAGAACAGGGGAAGAGAATACTACTATAATAAATTGAACATTATGATCACCAAATGAATAAGCAAGAACTCTGAGTTTGGTACAATTCCGAGGGAAAACAAAGAAAGGAAAATAACAAAACCAATAGAACCAAGTTATCTAACATTGTTTTTTCCTGGGAACGCGGAGGCAAATAATGATGTCGACAAGCTTTCTGCGATGGGTTGTTTTGTTGCATCATTGCGGGCGGCGCGACGTCACGGGAAGGGAAGCTCCGTCGAGCCGCCAGTTCGTCTTCCTCAGCCGCCGTGCATGGACTGGACTGGACTGAGCTGAACTGAACTGAACTGGACGGAGGCAGTCAGTCTTGCCTAGTTTGAGCTCACCACACACACATTGAAACCCGCCTCTCCCACTCACTTCCTGGGCTTCCTCTTCCACCTACTTCCTTTCCCCTTCCACTACTAACTACCCCCGCCTAGCCCAGCCAGCCTCCCTCGTCAGCGGTCAAGTGGAGATCTATTCATAGCCCCCCCCCAAATAGCCCTTTTACCGCTCAATTCTTCTTATCTGTCTCGTTTTCTTCTCCCTCCCCAAGTTCACTTTTTCATCTAGTCCCATAGCTACTCGATCTCATCGAGTTGTCTACAAGCCCCATCGCCGTTACTCATCACACACTACAGCTAATCTACTATTCATCCCCCATGGCTCCTCCACCCCCTTCCAATTTGCCTTTGCCCGAGAGGCTCAAGGCTCTTGCTCAGACGTTGCAGTAAGTGTTTTGTTTGCTTCCCCCATTACTCGATTGCGTCACATTGCTAACAAGGTCTTTCGCATTCAGATTCGCCTGGTTTGTTGGGTACGTTATTTCCCGCCTGCGCGACCCTTAAAGACACAATATCGGCTGCAATTGAAGTGGATAGAACAATTCTGCTTCGCAGTGTCTGACCCTCTTGCCAGTTTAATTGTTGTATGAATCACAATAACTGATCAGATGATAGACATGTGACATTGTTATTCTCTGTCCTACGCTATTTGGTGTCTTACATCACATTCAACTACTACTCTAACTCGGCTCAAGTCTCTTACCGCCTGGCGTTCTTGTCGGCTGCCGCGACATACGGAATTGTTGTGTACAAGGGTCATATCGCTCGCGGCCGCCTCCAGGGCGGTCTTCCTAACATTGCGATCAAGCTTGCTGGTGATGAGAACGTCCAGTACCTTGGTGAGTTTACTTCCCCTTGAGGTGTGAAATTAAAAAATTAAAATTCGCGGCGAATTCGACACAAGGAGATGAGAGATTCAAGAGCTGACAACGCCCACAGGCACTGCGCTGGTGTGGCTTTACTCGCGCCAGGTGTCGCTCGCTCTGCTTCCCTTCAGCGTTTATTCCGTCTTCCATGTTGCGACTTACACTCGTGCTCACCTGATCCCAACCCTCCAGGGCCCTCAGGCCGCTGGCGCTCCGGGTTCTCCCTCCTCTCCCAGCTCGCCCAGGCCTGCTGTCAGACAATCTCCCTTGGCGGAGACTATTGGCCGCTTCGTGAAACAGTACTACGATGCCAGCATGGACCTCGTGGCGCACCTCGAGATGGCGTTGTTGTTCCGCCTGGCCGTCGCCGTTCTCACTTTCTCGAAGGGTAGCATTGTCCTTTTCGCTATCTACTTGGCTTTCTTCCGTGCGAGATACTCTCAGAGCTCCTTTGTCCAGAGCTCCGTCCGCCACTTCACTGCCAGAGTCGACGCCTCGGTTTCCCACCAGAGCACTCCACCCGCCGTTCGCCAGGGATGGGAGTCTTTCAAGGCTGTTGTGCGCCAAGCGTACGAGGCCACCGATCTCGGCCGCTTGACCGGTGCAACCGCCAAGAAGCCCCAATAAATTGCCCATCCGCTTGAATACAGACGACTCGAGGAAGCTGGATAGATGTGATAAAATTGAACCCCGTGGCCAATCTGCGCCTGAGAGGGACTGTCTGCTCCGATTGTCGGCTATTGCGCCTGATGAAGATTGAATGAGCCAATGACCATTTTCTTTGACTGCGTTCCGGGGTTGATGGTCGCTTTTTGAGATTTGGAGACTGTGGATGGTATTGGAAGTATTGAATGGTGGATAAAAGGAAGGATATGTAGCCTCTTTATGAGCAGAAGCACGAGTGGCTTTGGACCTTCTCGCAAGACAGCGAGCGGGTGAGGTCCTGATACGCTGTGTCTAGTGCTCCTGCTTGAGTGGAACGGGCATTATTCCTTATATATTTTGTTTTTTCTGCAATGCGACAGTGATGCGATTGACGCGATTGATGCGATTAGCTTTGCCTCTTTTCCAATACAAATCTTTGACCTACTGTCTATGAGCAGCACGAGATTGTTTGCCCAGAAGCTCTATGGTCGTGGTTGCGCAACTTTCTTAGCGACAGAAGAAAATACCAGCCACGTAGTACTACCTATTGTAAGTAAGTATCGATTTGATCACCATTTAGAAATGCCCACCGTGCATTTGCCAACCATGAAAGCGATCGATACCATGATTGTTTGTTGCCTGAGGCGGCAACACGGCCCCGGACAGCGGAGAAAACTACAAACCGACGATAGCCCGACGAAATTTTGGGGTTTCGGGCAGTCGGGCTTTCGTCACTTTCAAGCTGTGATGTCCCCTGCTTATTAGCCCCATTTCCCCAGGGTTGATTATTCTCGCATCCTATTGTATCCTCGCTCCTATATATCTTCCACCTAATCCGCCGTCCCCTCGTGGTTCGAGGTGGCGTGCTCTCGTTAATCTACCGTCGCCGCATCCCAACCCCCGTGGTTTGGCCCGCACCACGATCCGGTGGGTTGCGGTCTTCTTGCAATGAGCTTGACTTCGCGTGTCTTGGGCTTCTTTGCGACGACAGAGACACCTTCGTCAGACTCTCCCGCGTCGAAATCCCTTTCTCAAAATGGCCCGACCGATCTCCGTCAGACGACGCGGATAAGCGCAAACAAGGAACATCATGTACAGAATGCACAGTCTCACCATGACGAGGAAGAGGAGCCTCGTCCACCGTACCTACACGTATGTAGCTTGCCTTCGCCATCTATACTATGATGCTGCGCGTATACTTCATGGCGCACATCCCGTCTCCATTCACGGATGTTGGACTAATTATCAAATTCGACCTACAGGCAATGTTCGCTGGAGGTATTGGTGGCACCTGCGGTGACATGCTCATGCACTCGTTAGACACCGTCAAGACGCGGCAACAAGGCGATCCGCATTTTCCTCCCAAGTACACCTCCATGACTTCGTCCTATGCGACCATCTACCGACAAGAAGGCCTTTTCCGCGGTCTGTATGGCGGAGTGACTCCTGCGCTTCTCGGCTCCTTCCCCGGTACCGTTATCTTCTTTGGCACCTACGAATACACCAAACGTCTCATGCTCGATGCGGGAATCAATGCGAATGTGGCGTATCTTTCTGGAGGTAAGTGTTTTTTGTGCGGCTTTGTCATCTGCGGTCGCATTTCGGTGCTAATCGGAAATGGGCTTATAGGCTTCTTCGCGGACTTGGCCGCCTCTATTGTTTATGTTCCTTCGGAAGTCTTGAAGACTCGGTTGCAGCTCCAAGGACGCTACAACAACCCCCATTTCAACTCGGGATATAATTACCGCTCGACCCGGGATGCGCTGCGCACCATCATTCGCCAGGAAGGATTTTCCGCGCTTTACTACGGATACCGGGCGACGATCTACCGCGATCTTCCCTTTTCCGCCCTCCAGTTCGCCTTTTACGAGCAAGAGCAACGGATGGCCAAAGAATGGGTGGGCTCTCGAGATATTGGGCTGAGCCTGGAGATCCTGACGGCTGTCACTGCGGGTGGGATGGCGGGTGTGTTGACATGCCCGATGGACGTGGTCAAGACACGTATCCAGACCCAGCAGAACCCCGAGCCCACGCCTTCGAGTCGCCCTTCGGGCTCCTCGTCGCACTCGGCGGCGGAGCACGCGTCGACCAAAGAGGGACCGCGCCACCACGCGGCTTCGCAGACGACGTCGAGCCTGCGCACGCATGCGCGCCCAATCTCCACCTCGGGAGCTTCCACGTCGGTGAACCCGCCTGGCGCTCCGCGCTTGGATACGTCATCGTTCTTCACTGGCTTGAAGATGATCTACCAAACGGAAGGGCTGGCAGGCTGGTTCCGTGGTGTTGGACCCCGTGGTGTGTGGACCAGCATTCAGAGTGGAACGATGTTGGTGATGTATCAATATCTCCTGAAAAAGTTCGAGGACTGGGAGAACAAAGGGGAGCTCAACCCCCTCTAGCTGCAGGATGAGGATTGTTGGGGTTGGACATGTTGATGATGTCCATTGTAGATAGCAGGATGGAAGGAAAACCGGAGCATATTGATGCAACCTAGACGGGTTCTATTGGGAGGGCGTTCCGGCAGTCGGAGGGGTGTGGCATGACCGATTTTTTTTTTCTTTTTCTTTTTCTTTTTTTCTCTTTTTCTTATGTGTTCTTTTATCACCCCTTTTCTTATCCTGTTGTTTTATTATCATAGAGCATCTCCCTCCATTTCTCTACGGTCGCCGCCCTCTTGTGTTTGTCCCTTTTGATTTCTGATGGCATGATTGATTGCATGAGAGGACATGGGATTTACTGTCTCCGTCACGTTGTGTGTATAAAAAGACCAAGAACGAACTAACTACATAGACTACTAGAGAAATAGACATGGTTCGATAATTTTACTTTGATTGTTGATAGTTAAGGTACTAATACTTATGAATTATGGTTCGGGTAGTTTGTTTACTTTGAGAGAGGAAGAAGAAGACGAGGAGGAGGAGGGAGATGAGGGGAAGAATGGGAACTGGGAAAGCGTGTACTGTGGGCGATCCGATCCCCCCATGGGTATTGCTTGTCTGCTTGTCTGCTTGTGCTGTCGTGCGGTGTAAACAAAGCCTCCCCAGACCCGAATGCGGTCAGCCCCACACCAGATTGGCTCCAGACCCTCTGTTTACTTTCAGGCTCCTTGTTCTTCGTTCTTCGTTCTTCGTTCCTCGTTCCTCTTGTTCCTCTTCTTCCCCTCCACCGTTTCACGTCCCTCTTCTTTCTTCCATCTTTCAACACATCGCGTTTCTGAACCCGCTTGGATAATAATATACTCATTCCCACGCGACTTCTACTTCTTCGAGAAGTCAACCTCGTCCTAGAGCAACCCCTCCCTTGCTCCGTATCAATTGTCGCATGATCCACCGCAACTTGCGCGCGTCATCATGTCCGCCGGATTGCCTTATCTGCAGAAGCAGCGCAAGCCCACCCTCACGGAATGGGCTCATATCACTGACCTTCAAAAGTAAGCTTCTGTTTTGACTCGCGAATCTCCTCTGCGCTTCCGCCCGGCCAGTTGGCTCGGGGACCTGACCATCTATAGCTATGCGGATCTGACCAAGCCCGAGCTTGCCTCGGCGCTGGACTCGCATCTTCAAGCTCACCAGTCCATCTTCATCGACGATGCGCGCCTAGGAGATTATTACAGGCGTCTGTCAGGATCTCCGCGCATTTTCTCACCGGCCAAGAATTCGCCTGTCAAGACATCGCCGACCAAGCGAGCACCCAAGGTGGAAGGCACTCCGTCGGCAGACGAAGCCCCCAAGTCAACGCGCAAGAGGAGTTCCAGATCCAAGGTGGAGTCGGTGCAAACGTAAGTTTCCCCTTGTTTCGTTTGTCGTATTCGTCCGGACCCTGCGACTACGGCTTTGCATGGATCTCGTTTGCGCGTGCGATACTCGATGTTTACGTCATCGCGGATCCCGGCTGATTTGCGATCCTTACGATAGGGATGACTCCGATGCTCCCCAAACTCCCGGCCAAATGCTGGTGAGTGTTGAGCCCCCATTGTCGCCATTGGCGGCGGCGCTCCCGCCCTCCCCCGCTGTGGTGACCGATGTGATCGATCGCCAAACGGCGGCGTGGGGCAAAAACCTCAAGGACATTTGGAACGCGTCGGGAGTGCAAGAGCAGTCGGATTCGCTGCGTGCCAACCTGAGCAGCGTCAAGGCAATTGCTGTCTTACTGTATGGGATTGAAAGCTTTGGTGTCTTGCGATTACTCTTCCCCCTGAGACTATTGACCCGCATCCCCGCTGTCGAAGCGATCCATTCACCGGCTTTCGAGATCTCGGCTCCTGACGCCTTCGTCTTGGTCGAGAGCTCTTTCTGGACTGCTTTCCTCGGGTGGCTCCTTACTAGTCTGGTCATCCCCTTGACCGTCGCGTATTTCTTCAACATCAGCTTGCAGGCGGCTCAGAACGGTGGTCCGGCAGCCAATACTCGACGTCAACGGGCGGCAGCGGCCGCGCAGCTCGCCAGCTTCGACCCCCTGAGCTTCCACATTGCCAAGGCGCTCATCGCGTACTTGGTTTACACCGGCAAGTTTTCTTACTGGGGCTTCTTCAATGATATCGCCGTCGAGGACATTAACAATGCTATTCCGGGTCGCTGGCCCGGAGTCATCACCGGTTCGGCGATCGGTGTGCTTACGACCCTCTATGAAGCTATCCTGCGGAAGTAGACATGTCTTGTCTACGTACTCAGTCAGTGATATAAGCTTGCTCTGTTCGGCTCGCGCCGAATGACCAAGTCTTGGCATTTCTGGGGTTGGTGTTCTGGAAGTGAATTCGACTTGTGCTCAGGTACTGTGGGAACATCCCATGATTTCTTAGGCTGTTCCGGCAGCCTAGACAGTTGGTTCCGGACGTGGGTGGATTTCTGTGCAATGGCAGGTCCAGAAAGAAAAGAAAAAGATATCATCTACCTTAGAGAGAGAAACTGGCAGGACCGATGGATCAAATCGTGGAGCTGGTTTGAGTCTGCTTTGGTGTGTTTTGGCTTGCTTCTGTGAAAGCTATGCAGGATTGTCTCGGGGCGTATTGTCTCTTCTTGTTGCGTTTTGTGTTTCGGGTTGATGTCTGGCGCACTCAGCAGGGTGTCGTTGTTGCTCCTGTATGTTCTATGAAGTCTAGGGATATTCCCTCTCACTTTGGGTCGCTGTTAACTGCTAGTCAGAAGGCGCTTCTTGGTTTTCGGGATTGCTGTATTTTTTGTTTCTTTCTTTTTTGGATGTGATATATCTCTCTATCTTCTAAATGTGACGTAGCAATCGAACAAGAGTCTTGAACAGTCGAGTTGTGAGTTCGTACATATGGAATGACCGTACCTGCCATCAAAACATTATCTATGTCATCTATTCTTAAAGCTCGATAACAAGTGCGAAGCTAGAACCAACCAAGACCAAGCCCTCAACCCCAACCCGACCCTGCGGGTGGATACTCATTTCTTCTTGAACCGCTCCGCCAGCTCCAACGTCAACAGCACCGGCATCTTGGCCTCGAGCTCGACCACATCCGCCCGAATGTGGTTGCTCGTGCTCAGCTGGCCCCCAATCTCCGTCTGCCAGTCCCGCACATCCCACTGGAACCCGGCGGTGGTGATCCGCGCCGGGCCCAGGAGCGGGATGATCCCGACGTTTTCCTCGAGGAGATGCGTTTCCGCCGTGGTGGTGGCGGTGGTGCTGGTGCTGGTGCTGCTGCCGCTCTGCACCTCGGGGTTTTGTTTCTGGTCTGCGTTGTCGTTATCTTGGCTAGGGGCTGGGGCTGGGGCTGGGGCTGGGGCTGGGCGATTCACCAGCGGCGTCTGCACGACATTCCGGCCGGGGCGCAGGATGAATGTGATGCTTTCTTCGGAGATGAGGTAGAGGTTTGGTCCGGGGTTCTGGTGCCCGTGCCCTTGGGGTTGGGATTGGGGTTGGGGCTCGTCAGGGCTGGAGTTGGAGCTGCTGCTGGCAGTGGTGGCTCGGAGCTCCTGCGTCATGTAGAAGAGATGGTGGATTTGGGAGAAAGCCTGGTCGACGCGGCCGCCTAGGCCGCCTAGGACGAGGATTTCGAGGGATTTAGGTGGGGGTTGGGAGTGGGAGTGGGAGATGGAGGTAGAGGTGGGTTCTGTGGTGGTTGCTGGTGCTGCTGGTGCCGCCGCCGCCGCCGCCGCAGCAGCAGCAGCGAGAATGGTCGCCGTGTTCCGTTGGATGTATTGCAGGCTCTTGTGGAAGTCCGTGCTGTAGTCGTCGATGTGTTGGATGACGGGCACGCCCAGAGTTTCGTAGTGCGTGCGGATCTCCGGGTGGATGGAGTCGAGGTCGCCGATTATGGCGCTGGGGAACTGTGCGGGGTTTTTTAGTTTGGTTTGGTTTGGGGAGTTTAGTGTATAAGAGAGATGGTGAACAGGAAATGGTTGAGATGTTTCTTGGTTTTTGTTTATAAAAGGGAAGGGGGGCGTTTGGGATGGATGTACTCGTGGATGTGCGGTACTCACATCTGTAGACTCCCTCCCGCGCGCCTTCATCATCTCGTAAAATCGGTTTGCGCCGCCGTCGGCGCAGACCGTGATACATGCTGCGATTGATTAGCCAGGGGTATGTATTATAGCTTGAATGTTTGTGCTGCAGGGGTAGGGTGGGTGGCTTCAAGGAGCAAACAGTGGCGAAGTACTCACCATGTCGCTGGAGAACATCGTAGGCCTTTTCGTTGATTGGATGGTTGAGGATCAACAGGGCATATGGGGAGGAAGGGTATCCCTCGCGAAAGAATTGCGTGGGATCCCACTCTGTCACTGTCATTGGGTTTTTGAGTCGGTAGGGGAGGTCCATGGTATCTTTTTGTTCTTTTTGATGGGAGACTGTTCTGTGGAGGTTGATTCGGAGTGGGATATCAACCGGGCGTTATCAAATGCGATTTTTGGAGTCGGGTTGGGCTGTCCCCGTGCTTTTTTGCTTGTTCGGGCCCTGAGGTTTGGGTCTGGGTTTGAGTCGTTGTTATTGATGGTGGAGGTGCAGACGCGGAGTATAGGGTACTTGGTCACGAGAGCCTCTTCAGTCGGTATACTAAGAAGGTACTGTATGTAGTGCTACAAGGTAATTGTCGATCGATGGTCTGATCTGGAATGATCTCAACTGTTCACTGATAAGTTAAACCCCTCCCTCTTCAGCCACAGCCACATGGCCGCCAGTTCGCGGGGTGTGGCTGGAGCAGCCTGAAGCAGAGGCTGATGGAAGGCTGACTAAATATACTACAGCAGCCCTCGCTTGTCATTGGCTCCCCGCTTCTCGTATTCACACGGGCCCCAGCTTCGATCTACTATATCAGTACTAGGTAGACTTGCACTTGAGTATCTCACCATCTGCTAACAATGAGCATCGCAGGTGATATTCAACCCCGAAAATGGTAGCCCGCAGCAAGGGCTGTGCACTCTGCGTGCAACGGAGAGTCAAGGTTAGTCCATGTTACTTAAGATCTAAACCATATCTGCTGACTTTGGCAGTGCGATCAACGACAACCTGGATGCGCGAAATGTGAAACCTATGGAGAGCCGTGCCCTGGCTATGGTCCTCGCTTCAAATTTATTGCCGGGAAACCATATCGCAGTCAACGTCGTCGAAAATCGGGCGCTGACCAGGATGGCTCATCCCCCGAGTCACTCGCTGTAGTTCACTCTGAGCCTCTGCGGCAATGTACAAATCTGCTATACAACCTCTCATCCATTGCTTCGGCTGATATGAATCTGAGTCAGTGCCTCGAAATTATGACTCAGGAGATCTCCAAGCCATTTGCTGCGAACTCGGCGCATGTTACTTCTCGCTGGTTCGGGTTTCTGCCTACAGTGTACGGACGCAATAGGGCCTTGGACTCGACGATAAAATCCTTTACAGCTCATCAGATGGGTTACTTGATGAGTGATTCGCAAGCGGTGCAGTATGCGAGGCAGCTGTACATTGAGTCTTTGTACCGACTGCGGACCTCGTTGGGCAACTCCCGGGAATGTTACTCGCCCGAGGTGTTCTGTGCTGTAATGCTTCTTTGTCTGTACGAGGTGAGTCGTGTGAATCATGTCTTTTTATCAGAACCGGCTCTAATGAACATAAGCTGTTCACAAATGTTCATGACGCAGATGCCTGGATGAAACATGCCAAAGGATTGAGTCAACTGGTGGAGCAACGAGGGGCAGCTCGCTGCACCACCGAGTTCGATCATGTGCTTCTCAAAGCTGCTCGAGGTCTGATAGTTATGTACTCTCTCTTTTCCGGGCAGAGCTGCTTCCTAGCCTCGGAAGAATGGCACACCGTGATGAGGCAGCACCCTAATGTCGGCTTGGGTGCCGACCTTGCGAACCAGGTCGAACAGTTCTTCGCGTACTTCACCTCTGCACCTGGTCTTGTTCATCAACTTTACGACCTCAAAGACGCAGATTTCACTAAGCCGAATACTGTCACCAAAGCGGGTGATTTGCTCGTTCAAGCTTTGGCCATGCAGAGTAAATTATCCGCATGGCTCGCCGACGTTTCTGCAGTCACACCAATGCCGAGCGAGATTCGATCTGCGTCAGGGGATATGTACTATCCTACTGTGCTCGAGTACTCGGATGAGAGCGTCGCGTCTATCCTCTGCGGTTTCTACTCCTACATGGTGATCATACACGAGATACTGAGGGGCTGCGGTTATCCTGGAGATCACGCCGCCACCGTTGTCTATTTCCGAGACCAGATCTGCAAGTCGGTTGAGTACAATGCTCGAGGACTGCTTGGACCATATCGCATGGGATTCCCTTTGAGGGTGGCCTATGAAGTTGCGGATCCCGCTACGAGGGCTTGGATTGAAGGTCGTCTGGAAAGGCTCTCGAAAGTGTACGCGGCCGTGCGTCCACAGAACTTCGGATGATCACAACACAATATGACAATGATACATAGACTATGATTATCTATCCGTGGCTGGCCACAGAAACAGCAGCCAAATCTATAGCCTCAGACCTCTGGATCAGTTGGGCCTCCCTTCGCCGGCCACAGGGGCTCCGCTACGGCACGAGCTAGCAGCAAGATAATGATAATGAGGACCTCCATCACCAGTCCCATGCCCACCATAACACCCTCACTGCCGTCGATGGGGCTAAATTTCCGTGGACCAAACTCCGCTAGCAGAAAGTAAACCACGCGAACCACCAGAAAAGGAAGAGCACCCAGCACTATCATCACACAACTATGTCCGGCTGGTGAGAGGACGGAACGATATGTCACCGCCAGCCAGCTCACCAGACCACACACGAAACAGAAAGTGGCGGCAAACACTGCTCCTCCAGCATACATACAACCGGGGATTCCGATGCAATCTCCGACTACTACCAGGACAATAGAAATTATGACCGGGAAGCGAAAGAAGTGGAGGAGGAAGCGGACATGTTTGGGGTAGCGGGAGTTTCCGGGACCGGTGCGACCTGCTTGTCCACTATAGATCGGGATTCAATGTCAGTCGTGTCTACTTCCGACGGTTGGGTTGTCTCTTTCGTCTTACCTTCGCAAAAGAACGAGACTCACTTCAAACAAGAGAGGCGAGAGCCCAATAGTCTGCAGAACGGATTCTGCTATGAGCATTGACTTGTTTGGATGGCGATTGGAGATCACCATGGCCGAGTCGGCGATTCGGACTGGGTTGACAGAGATTAGTGCATGCTGTTAGTACACTGTGGTGTACGTACTCTGAGATAATATGCCCAACAGCCCCCACCATGAGTACAGGAAGCACCGTGCAGGGCGTCTCTGTTTCCTATGGTGCCAGTAGCGCCATTCCTGATTGTACCTCATGAGGAATTGGACCAGCTGGATGATCGAGAATAGAACAACCTCGACAATGGCGACGTATCGATTCTCTGGAGAGATTATGGCGATACCGGAATTATAGTCAGCCATGTTGAAAGTCAACTAGCTCACAGCAAACACAGTCAAGTATAAAGGATGGATGAAAGTAAAGAGCAGGAAATGAGAAGACAAGGCGAAGACACAAAGGTCGAGTGCTCGAACCGGTCATATATACTAATGCCATATTCGATTAGACTTTTTCTCTCTCTTTCATCGCTTCGAAATCTTTTTCTGCTCGCGTGAAGGCTCACAGCTTAGCCATGGCCATCCTCGTGCCTGGTGGAGACATCGCGATAAGTGACCATTCTAGGTTTAGCGCATCTGGTGCGTCAGTAACCAATCATTCGGCCCTTCCGTCCTATAGATTGAAGTCTTCCAGCCTTACAATTAGGCTGTCTGTGCGCATCATATTCTATGGATATCAGCCGCACATTCGTACCTCAAGAGTATGTGAGGACCAATTCGAGGACTATGTGGTTGAATCTGCAGAGGATGCTCTTGTGGCCTTGGACCCCTCATCTAGCGCTGGATGTGTTATTCATATAGGCATATACTGACGAAAGAATTGTCTGTTCACTTAGCACTCCCTCTTCAACTACATAAATGAGTACTGTAAGTGCAAAGATGTGCATCCTCTACCTTAAAAGGACTCTGCCATCCATAGGTACTAATCACACGCGTCGGTGAAGTACAGAGTACCTACGATGCGATATGATTGGCTGTGCCAACCTGACTAGCCCCTCTCTGAAAGCGGTAAGTATAATGCCTGAGGTGTCGATATTGCCAACCTTCCGTCCATTCTTCTCCGCAGTTCGCACTGGATTTCCAATCCATTGACTGTCTATTTCCGCCTCATTCAGCGTCGCTTTCGTCGGGCATTGATGCCTCTCCCCTTCTTTTGATACCACCCTCTACTCCACTCTTCAATTGATATCCCTTCTCCTAATTCCCGTCATGTTCCGCTCCGCAGCTCGAGTCGTCCTCCGCGCGCCGGCTGTCCCAGTCCGTGGCCCGGCCAGCAGACGATTGATAAGCACTTCTCCCGTTGACAAGAAGTCGAGAAGCTGGAAGGGAGGCGTCGTGCGTCTGGGTTTGGCTGCTGGCGCAATCTACTACTACAACACCAGCCCTGTTTTCGCGCAAGACCCGAAATGTACGTATTGTCCGCTGTTCCGACATTTTCCTCCCGAAGCTTGGTCATCGTTCCGGGATCAGAGCTATGTCGTCACCTTGGAGAAAGACCAAAAGACATCAAACTGCGAATGGAGTTGACTGACAACCTGCACTTAGTCTCCTTCCGCTCCCAACCCCAGCCTGATGCTGTCGCCGAAGAATCGCTCCCGACCCTCGACTCCGTGAAGCCTAAGATCCGTGAGCAGAAGGCTCCCGCTGCCACTCCCACCCCCACCCCCAGTATCACGCCTGCTGCGCCTCAGCCCCCTTCCGAACCCACTCAGATCGACCCTGCGGAACTTGAGGAACAAGCCGGCCACGAAGCTGCTTTCAATGAGGAGACCGGCGAGATCAACTGGGACTGCCCCTGCCTCGGCGGCATGGCCCACGGACCTTGCGGAGAGGACTTCAAGGCCGCTTTCAGCTGCTTTGTCTTCTCCACTGAGGAGCCTAAGGGCATTGACTGCATTGACAAGTTCCAGTACGGAAATCCTCCGCCTGTCGGGTCCTAGAGCGCCGCTAACAGTTACTCCCTTTAGGGCTATGCAAAACTGCTTCAGACAATATCCTGAGGTCTACGGTGCCGAGCTGGAAGACGACGAGGCCGCCGCTGAGGGTCAAGTTGCCCCCGCCGCTCCTGGCGATGAGCAGCCCGTGAGCGCTGCTCAGATTGATGCTTCCTCCACCCCCGACGAGAAGCACGCCCGCGCACACGAGGTCAACGCCGAGACCAAGTCGCAGCTTGCGGAGAAGGGCGAGCTCCCCGAGAGCGACGAGCTGATCCCCAAGTCGTGGCACGACACGGAGGCCAAGAACGAGGCCCCCGAGCAGACCAAGAATTAAGCAACCGTGTTAACGAGTCTGTTATCATGCGGGATCACGAATTGAAGTTGCAGGAGAGACAAAGGCCAGGTGTGGATTGAACCGATACCAAGAAGGAGGCGTATGCGGTAAGCGGGATCGCGCTGTGTGTATCAATATATGAATGCGTTTCTATATTTCATACCCCCACCCTCGCCTCGTTGTTTCTCGTTCTCTGCTTGTGTGCGTCGGCCTTGTCAGCCAGTCACTCACGCCATTCCGCGTATTCGTGATTGCTGATGGAGTGGACATTGCAGCTTCACTGGTCTTTTGTCTTTATGAACCCGCATCACGGACCCTCTCCTTCTCTCCCTATATCTTCTATTTTCTATTGAGTACCTGTATCTAAAATCTCTGTACTTGTATGTTTTCTTGTGTTATGGTTGGTTATTTAGCAAGTCCGGAAGAGAGACGACATGGAATAGAGATAGATTACTGATTTGTGATGATTATGTGATCTGGCAATTGGTGCTCTCTGTCTCATTGTATGCTTGTGTGTATTGTTGGCTAGGAGTTGTCACATTCAACTACAAGCCTTGGTACCTCTACATGCTTGATCCTCTGGTCTCATTCTGTTTGACTTTTACAGTACACAACTTATCCATTATGCTCAACTTCAAAGAATCCGACCTCAAACTGAAAATATACCTACACTTCAATTCCCGAGCTGGAACTGGTACCGCACAGCACTCCGACTGGCATCAACTCCATCAATCCCGATACGGACTAGCGCGTTTCCGTCGCGTCTTCCCCGCCACGCGTCTTGCAGCATCAACTCTAGATTCAATTCAACCCCATTAGAAAGAACCCCAAACCACCTTTGGCGACACCGCGCCCCTCATTGAATTGGATGGAGGTAGCATAGCGGCGGCATCACAAGTCCCACCACCGGCAGACTCACTTTCTGTCACGCAATCTTTTTCCTCCCCTCCATTCTTGCACGACTCCTCCGCAAATTTAGATGACGACTTCTTCGTCCCCCTCGATCCCCCCCTCCTTCGACCCAACCATCAATCTCGACACGGACCCGGCCCTCCTCGACTTCGACCACTCCGACCAACAATTCCTCCCAGACGCGAGCGCAAACGCAAACGCAAACCCCCTCTCGCAAACCTTCTCCGACGACCTCGAAGCCTTCGACCTGCAGCGGCAGGAGCGCGCGCGCAACCGGGTCGTGATCCAGCATCGCGCGTGGAATCTCTCGGATGTGTTCCGAAGTGACGAAGATCTAAGGCCTGGTACTTTTTCCCATCATTTCTTTTGAGCTTTTGGGGCTGGAGTATTGGATATTACATCCCGGGTAAAATATTGTGGGCAAGAAATAGCTGGGATTGATAAACGAGGTTTGCGCGATATACAGACAACACCCCGACGAAAACAAAGCATAGAAAGCACCAGATCGATTCGCCGGTTCGTTCGTTGGCTTGGTTGCCGTCGTCGCCGCCGAGTGTTTTGAGGATGCCGTTCATCTCCTCGCCTGCGGCTGGTGGTGGTGCGGGTGCCGGGGAGGCAGGGGTGTCGGAAACGCATAAGCGGAAGGTTGAGGAAGGGGGGAACTTTGCTGCTGAGGTTAAGAGGCCGAGGATGATGGGTGGGTTTTTGGACGATGAGGATGAGGATGAGGATGGGATGGAGGCTTTTCGGGATGCGCAGATGGATGCTGGTGGTGATGGGCTGGACGAGTGGGTGCCTCTTCCTGGGTCGGCGTCGCTGTCGAAGCCCCCGGAGCAGCGGACGCAGTCGGTTGCGGCTGCGGAGCCTAAGAAGCCGAAAGTCATGGGTGGGTTTCTGGATGATGATGACAACGATGACAACAACGACGAAGATGAGTTGGAGGCACTGCATGATGCGCAATTCAAGAGTCAGTTCATGATGCAGGAGCGACTCATCGAGCAGCCGCTCGTCGACCTGCCTCCCATTCCGAAGCCGTCGCAGATCCCCCCGCCACCGGAGGAGCCGAGCAGCTCGATGCCGACGACCATGTCGCTACCCTCGCGCAGGCCGACGAGGTCGATCCAGATTAAGACCTGCTCCGGCAAGACGCATCATGTTGCTTTGAAGAAGCCGGCGAGTAGGGTGTCGTACGAAAGACTCGTGGCCGGTCGTTCGGCTCCGGCCCCGGGTCGAGCCCAGAAAGCTTACTATGGTATTGAGATTCATCGGCTCTTGGACGAAGCTGCGAAGGAGGAGGAGGATCGTGCTTCGAACGCGGCGAGACCACGCCCCTCCCCTACGATACAACCGTCCATCGAACCCCCGCTTGACGCGGGCCACAACAGCAAGGCCAGTAAACACGCCAAGGCGATGTGGACGGAGAAGTACCGCGCACGCAAGTTCACGGAGCTGATCGGCGATGAGCGCACCCACCGACACGTCTTGCGGTGGCTGAAAGGCTGGGAGCCGATTGTCTTCCCAAACCTGGGCCGGTCGAAGGCGAAGAAACCGATGCGCAAGGACAACAACGAGGACGAGGAGCCAGCTCACCGCAAAGTCTTGCTCCTGTGCGGCCCTCCGGGACTGGGGAAGACCACTCTCGCGCATGTGTGCGCTCGACAGGCGGGTTACGAGGTCCTCGAGATCAACGCTAGCGACGACCGGAGCCGAGATGTCGTCAAGGGTCGAATCCGGGACTCCCTCGGAACGGAGAACGTCAAAGGAATGAATGTGGAAGTCGGGGAGGACAAGGTGCGCAAGGCGGGACGGCCGGTGTGCGTGGTCGTAGATGAAGTGGACGGTGTCGTGAGCGGATCTGGGGGCAGCGGTGAAGGTGGCTTCATGAAGGCCTTGATTGATCTGGTGATGCTGGATCAGAAGAATTCGGCACGGAAGGCTGAGAAGACGTCGACTACTGGCAAGAAGAAGAAGGGCGACAACTTCCGCTTTCTGCGGCCTCTCATCCTGGTCTGCAATGATGTCTATCACCCTAGTCTACGGCCGCTGCGGACGGCTGCTATCGCTGAAATCATCCATGTGCGCCAAGCGCCAATTGAGAATGTCGTTGCGCGGATGAAGCGAGTTTTCTCCATCGAGGGCATCCCGGCAGATAACGATGGCGTTCGGCGTCTCTGCGAGGCATCCTGGGGCATTGCCAGAAGGAAGCAGATGGGCGTCAAAAGCAGCGGAACGGCCGAAGGCGACATTCGAAGTGTGCTTGTCGCAGCCGAGTGGGTGGCTCACAAGCTCCGCAGCGAGTGTCCATCCACGCTGAGGCTGACGCGCAGCTGGCTGGAGCAGAAAGTCCTCAGCGACAAGACCGGTGGCGGAACGTTCTTCAAGGGCCTGAACCGCGGTGGTGTACGAGACCTCGTGGACCGAGTCTTCACCGAAGGCGCTGGGTTCGCGGACGCCCCCGTTGGCGCGGATTCCTTCCGGGACCCCTACGACGACTCGGCCAAAGTGCCCGTCGGCGTGGCAGACCTGCGCAAGCGCCATGCCATCAACCGCCTGCGCGAGATGGTCGACGCCAGCGGCGAGCACGACCGCTGCGTGTCCGAGTGCTTCTCCTCGTACCCCCTACAGACCTATCAGGACGACACCTTCCTCTCCAAACCCAACACGGCCTACGAATGGCTGCACTTCCACGACACCATCTCCTCCAAGATCTTCTCCCACCAGGACTGGGAACTGAGCGCCTACCTCAGCCAGCCCGTCCTCGCCTTCCACCACCTCTTCGCCTCGACCTCCGGCAAGGCCAAAGCAACAACATCAACCACAACCACCTCCACGAACGCCGACAAAGACGCTGCGGAGGAAGAGCACCCATTCTCCGGGCCCCGCGCTGACTTCGCCGCCTACGAGGCGCAGAAGCAGAACCGCGCCCTGCTGACGGAGTTCCAGTCCTCATTCTCAGCGCCGCTGAGTCGACTCTTCCGGTCCACGGAGTCGCTAGTGCTCGACCTCGTCCCCAACCTCATCAAGATGCTCTCTCCGGACGTGAAGCCGGTGGTCGTGCGCGGCAGCGGCGAGCAGCGCAGCGTGGCTAGCGTGCGCAAGGAGAGCGAGCGTGCGCTCGTCCAGGCCGCCGTGCGCGTCATGTCCGGACTCGGGGTGCGGTTCGAGAAGGTCCGCGTCGAGGGCGCGGGCGGTGCGCACAGTGGATGGGCGTATCGAATGGAACCGTACGTTGCCCCTCTGCCCTTGATGTTCACCCTTTCTTCCTTTCCTTTCCTTTCCTTCTAAATCCAAGCCCCGCACCCAAACTCCAAACCCCTACCTAACCCGAAGACAAAAACAGACCCCTAGACACCCTCATCGCCTTCTCCCAAACCACCACCAACACCACCACAACCACCGCCACCGCCCCCGTCCGCTACGCCGTCCGCCAAGTCCTCGACCAGGAATACCGCAAAGAAACCACCCTGAAGAGATCCACCGACGGCAGCGGTGGCCTCAAACCCACGCACCCCAAATCCAGCGGCCCAAAGCCCCACCCCGACACAGCCAGGAAACCCGGCGCGGCCGCAGCGGATGGCGTCGCGGTGAAACGCGACTTCTTTGGACGGATCATCGCCCAGGAACCGTCGGCGCAGGGGTGGGCCGAGGATGGCGACGCCCAGCAGAAGAAGAATGCGGCCGCGCAGCAGACACAAATGTCCAAGAGTGGGCGACGGGTGTGGGTGACGTACCATGATGGGTTTTCGAACGCGGTGCGTAAGCCGATTTCTTTGGCGGAGTTGTTGGGGGATTTGTAGATCTGATTTCCGGTTCTGGTTCTTTTGGGGGGGGGGGTTGAAGGCAGGATGGGGGGTAATGATTGAATGAGGGGTTTTTTTTTTTTTTTGTGGTTTGTTTGTATGGGATATAGTGTTGTTAGGTTGGGGCTGGAGTTTAGTTCTGTATGGGTGTTGCTATGGGATCTGGGGGACTTTCATTGTACTAGTCTATACTTATAGCGAGAGTACTACTTACTCTGTCTTCGTGTTGACCAATATAAATCACGGTATATTCCATGATGTTAGATGAAAGGATGCTGCTCCGATTGGTATATACTTCCTCCACTTGTCCGCGATCGCAACCCATGTCATCTAAAACTTATCATCACAAAAAAACCAATAGAGAAAAAACAAATGCCACCCCCGAATATATCTCAAGGGTGGGGTGGGGGGATAAACAACAGAGTAAACATTCAAGCCATCACAAAAAGACAAGACACCATGCAATAAAAACAAAACCAACCCGACACACACAAGAAAAAAAAAACTAAGCCTGACTCTTCAACTTCTCCGTCAACTCCGGCACCTTCTCAAACAGATCCCCGACCAACCCGACATCGGCGACCTGGAAGATGGGGGCGTCGGCATCCTTGTTGATGGCGGCGATGACCTTGCTGTCCTTCATGCCGGCCAAGTGCTGGATGGCGCCCGAGATGCCCGCGCACAGGTACAGCTGCGGGGCGACGTTCTTGCCCGTCTGGCCGACCTGCAGGCTGTTGTCGGCGAAGCCGCTGTCGACGGCGGCGCGCGAGGCGCCGATGGCCGCCCCCAGGGTGTCGGCCAGCGGCACGATGACGCGGTCGAACTCCTCCTTGGACTTCAGGCCGCGCCCGCCGGACACGACGCGCTGCGCCGTCGCCAGGTCCGGCCGCTCCGACTTGGCCAGCTCCTCCGACACCCACTCCGTCTGGAGGGCGGCCTTGGGGTCGCTGCCGTCCTCGACGGGGGCGGCGCCGCCGCTCGTCTCGACGCCCTGGAACGAGGTGCCGCGCACCGTGAGGATCTTGATCGGGTCGCTGGACTGCACGGTGAGGATGGCGTTGCCGGCGTAGATGGGGCGGACGAAGGCTTTTTTTTTTGGGTGGTTAGTTCTTGGACGTTGGACTTTGTGGAGGAGGGGGAAAGGTTGTTGGTGGTGGTGGTGGAGGTGGTGGTGGGGGACTTTTTTTGGATTATGACTCCGACACCGGAGACAGGATGAGGGGAATGTTTTGCAGCGCGGAGATAAAACCAGAAGGAGTAAACGTACTATCCTCGCTCTCAATGCCAGTGATATCGGACACCTGCTGCACATCCAACAAAGCCGCTACGCGGGGCAGGAGACTCTTGCCGAAGGCCGAGTGGCCGGCGACCACGTGCGTGTATTCGCCTTTCTGGATGTTCTCGACGAGCAGAGGGGCGTAGTTCTCGGGAAGGCCCTGTTTTTGAGGTGTTGGATTAGCATGTGATGAGGATCAACTGTCGGTTGCTATTTTGGAGTGTGGAATAGGAAGGAAGTTCCAGAGCGCATGGAGCTGGAGCTGGGTGGGCATACCTTCTCGTAGGCCTCGTTCTCCACCGCAACGACCTTGTCCAGACCCTTGATCTGGGCCGCCTCGGCCGCGGAGGTCGCCTTCACATTGGCGCCGGCCACGAAGGCAGTGATGGGGCCCCCAAGCTTCTGGGCCGCGGCGATGGCGGACAGGGAGGAAGGCTGGATCTTGCCGTCGCGCTGTTCGAGCACGGCGAGGGTGGAGAGCAGGCGGGCGAGAGCGGCGGAGGAGAGGGCGGTGGTGGTGCGCGTGGAGGGGAGGATCTGCGCGCGGGCGGCGCGGAGCACCGAGTTTCTGGCTAGAGGGAGCATCTTGTGGAGGATGGGATTGATTGAGTGGGCGGGGAGTGGAGGTGAGAGAGAGAGAGACAGAGACAGAGACAGAGAGAGGGGAAGGAAAGGTGGGGAGTGGGATGGGATGGGGAAGGGAAGTCTTTAAGTTAAGGTGAAATTGAAGGTTATCGTCGGATGGAACTGCTTGACCGCCCGCTTCGGCCAGTCAGTCACAATCGCCGATCCCGCCGGCGGCCAAATCACCCGACGGACGGCTAGTTCGGTTACTCCAGCTTGACGGACAGGGCAGCATTTGGCTGTGTTGTGTACAGTACAAGTTCCTCGGTCCAAGTTCAATCATATGTCATAGTTCACTTTACCGCCGTAAGGTAGGCTTCCCACACCACTGCATGTACAGAACTTTTGCTTTTTATTCGTCCAAGGGGTATTGAGGTACACGCCCTGATATGAGAGAAAAAAAAATACTCTAAATTTAGAGATAGTGACAGATGGAAGACAAAGCAAAACAGTAAAACAGCGCCGGTAGACAGGAACAACCCATTGCTTATTCAGATACAAATCCGTGGAAATCGAAACAACACCGGAGGTATAGACTTGATTGAGTGAGAGTTCGAAGCATAGGACAATTATGAGGTCGACTTTCTCTTCTTCTTGCCAGCGCCAGCCTCGGTTTTCGTAGGCGCCGCGCCATCTTCCAGCGCCTTAGCCTTCTGCTTCTGGAGCTTCTCTTTCCTCGCCGCCAGCGTCACGGCATCCTCGTTGTCCTCCTCAGTAGCCTTGGCCTTCTTGGCTTTCTTGGGGGCCTCGAGTTGCTGCTGCTGCTTCTCCTCGTCACCCGTGCTGATCTGCTTGCGCTTCTTGCCGCCGGCAACGGCCTTGGTCTCCTCGGCACCCTCCTCGACGACGTCTTCATCCTCGAGCCACAGCTCGCTGGCCAGCCAGATGGGCATGGCCATGGTGTTGGCGCCCTTGATGTGGATCGCCTTGAGGTTGCGCCAACCCTTCGTCACGTACTTCTCCGTCAGGCCCGTGACGACCGCGTCGATGTTCTCGGCGAGCTGCTCGGCGGTGAAGTTGGACGCACCGATGCGGATGGCGGCCGTGGTCGCCGGGGCGAGCTGCACAGGGGCGCAGTGCAGCGCGCGCTCGATCTCCCTGGCGACAATGTTGGGGGCGGCGAAGGCGCTGCCTTCGTCCTTGCTCCGCTTCGTCTTGTCGTCCTTCTTGACCCGCTTGCCGTCGACCTTCTCGATCGCGGCGATGCGGACGGGGATGGGCCGCTTGCTGGACTTGTAGAAGGTCTTGCCGAGGGTCTGGACCAGGCGCATGATGATGCGGTCGTCGGCCAGGAAGACGTCGTGCTCGGCGAGCAGCTGGCGGCATTTCTCGAAGCTGTTGTAGCGGGCCTTCAGCTTGGTGTATCCGATGACCCTGTCGATGCTCTCGGCCAGGGGCTGGGGGAAGGACGGGTCGGCGACGATGTTCTTGACCGCGCGCTGGGGGTCCGCGGTGATCAGGCAGACGCTGAGCGAGGACTTGGTGTTGAGCGAGTGGGGGATCAGGATCTTGCCGGGCTTCAGCCGGTTCTTGTCCACCACGTGCTTCTTGGTCGTGAGGACGAGCCACACGGCCTCGTTGTTGAGCGGGGCCTGCTCGCCATCGGACTCCTCGTCGTTGTCGCCGATCAGCGTCTTCTTGGTCGCGTTCTTCTCCCGCTCCAGCTGCGTCGTCTTGATGTGGCGCAGGAGTGCTGCGGATGCTCGCGAGACCTGTTACAGATGTTCATCGTTAGCGGATTGAAGTTCCCCTCCGCTGTGTGAGGTATCAATAGCGCATGAGCGGTGTTACGTACCTGGCTCTTGTCGAGCTGGTAGGGAGTGCCGGAGGTCGCCTTAGTCGTCAAAGCCGTGGAAGACCCCATTTTTGCGGTGATGATATGAAAAATGTTGCAAGAACTCGATAGGGCTCGACTTCCGCGATAATCTAATGATAAAAAAAAATTCATGGGAAGGCGGTAGCCACTTATTGCCTGTCTTGGCGGTGGGCGAGTTCGCTTAGTCAGACATCGTTTCCCCGGGTCATGTGATTGCATATGCTTGTAGAGATCACATGAGCAAAGGTCTGTGCTCCTCGTCACTTCTAAGTTGGAAGGGAAACTACAGGCGCGATTACAATGACGTGTCGAAGATCTTGTTCAAAGCAAGCAAGTCACATGTGAGCAGTGCAACGACGCGAGTGCTGGCTATCTCCGGATGCTTTGCCCTCCCGTCCGTGACACAGTGGGATGAGGAAGGGACGGTCTGCAAGATGAGCTGGGCGACCCGGCCCAGTCGTTTACAATCATGAATATGGGATGGGGTTGACGGTTTACTTCAGGACGTGGCTCTGCGTTGTTTAGTCCTTTTGAGTCCAAATCAATGCTTCGACATGCCCACTTGCCTTGTGCAAGACCACGAGGGAACGAGGAGTCCCATACCCGAAGACCGCGCAGGCCCGTGATGATGGGAATGTGATGCTTCACGGGCTTCTCTTCACGATGTGCGACTGGTCCCTTGCATGTTTCATCCTAGGAGTATTGTCAAGGGTTCCGGAGAAGCGCGCCCTTTACCCGTGCACCAGCCAGGGATGGATAATCACTGCTGTTCATTAGAAACTGTGCACATGTCAAGCAATTGGTTGGGGTGTAATGAGTCTTGTTGTCTGAAAGGCTGTTCAGAGCCAAAATGATGCCTCGGTAACTCAAATCTTGGAACCGGTTCCTCAAGAAGGTCTCGAATAGATACTTGACTGGTTTCACTGTCACTGTCACCAGAATTGAGTTGGTCAGCGCCGGCGAATATGCATCGCACACGACCGTCACGAAGGGTGCCCAGTCAACGAAAGAGACAACTGTAAAGCAGGTCAGTTAGCGGTGAGGGAGAGACAACCGGGACGAATGATGCCATATGCTGGATATTGGTTTAATAAACGACGAAAAGGCCCAGACAGTCTCGGGCAATCGAAGACTATGAGCAAATAGTTAGTCGAGTGGTAGGTGAGTCAACCCATGCGCATTGACCATGTGGATTATTGCAGCGAGAGGGAAACAGGGACTGGTCTCGGAGTATTTCTTCAACCTGCAGAGGGTAACGTTATTGTTCACGCAAGAGAAAAAAAAGGAGGCATAACATTGCGCTTGGCAATGGACCAGAGCCGAGCACAAACCACATGACCAACCGACCCTCTTTGCGAACATGTCTGGCCATTGGTTCGGTTGGTGTAGCTGATAGTATCTTATGAGTTAATATCCTAGTGGTTAGGGGATTGCAAGTCCATTTGCCGTCTTCTGTTCCGTACTTGATTCCGATTACTAACTACACAGACTAACTACAACTATCTTGGCTACGCACTGGCAGGCTACGGTAATATGGTAATCGGAACGATGGGAATAGCGTCGCTTGACAGTGCTCATCATTCGTCCGTTTGGTCGCCCGTCCAATTCTCCGGATGGGGCCAACGCAAATGCGTTCAAACAGAGCAGTCGACTTGTCGCCGGCACACGGTGGAACAACAGACAGAAGCTTGTGCGGTAGATAGGGGAGGGGTCGGTGATTCAGGCACAGATAGACGATGATAGGACCAAAGCGATGTCATCGGTGCCTGAAACAATAATGCATGATGCTACCGCGGATTAAGATTTTCCCTTCGGGTCTCGGGTGCCGCTCCAACAACTAGTTATGAGTACTGTGCGGAGTACATTGGATGCAGCCCCTCTGTTTACATCCATCCTCAAAGCAACCTGGTTCGAACGATAGGTGAGTTCGAGCTTAAACTTCAATGCTTCAATGCTAGTGCTCCCTCCGAGTACTTCAATAGGCTGAGAGCATGGACAGTCATTTCCCGTACCACGCACCGATGGTCAAGTCCACGTCAATAGCTGAGTTGTTCGGGGGATTAGCTTATCCTCCAAGGTCTAATAGTCTGCCTTGGACAAAAGGGCAACGGCGACTAGTTAGTTACGGGGGTAGATTGAGTCAACAATGAGTTCAACAGACCTCTAGTAGCAACTAGCTCAGATATGGCACGAGAGAGCGAGCATGCGTGGAAATAACTCCCACGCCTGTGCCCCTCACAATGTACCCGGTTAGGCGTAGTGTGACCCCATCCTTCAACTTAGGTTTGTTTTAGCGCTCCCTGCAGCCCGGTTAGTGCGTTGGTTTGAAGTAAGGTAGACACGGTTGCTGTATCTGGGAGATTGATCCCCGCCGGTGGAAAATCAAGCTAACCAAGTCTCGGTTGGATGCTTTTCTTTCGGTCGACTCCCCCCCATCTCCACCCACCTCGGGGCTTTTATCGTCCCCCCTATACCTTAGTGACCTTCTGGCCCTGCTCTCTGGCCAAAGACAATTCGGTCTCCGTAGGCTGTTCATCATTCAACACGAACTCAACTGCCAACACCCTCTCTCCACCCAAACTATTGACTTTTATCGGCTCCAACCCTCCGTAAATTGGGCGGAGAACGGGCAGGCCGAGAAGAATATGGGGAATAACCACGCGGTTCAATCTCTGCAGGCTGCTTGGCATCAGACAACCCACGTCAAATTCCTGGTGAAGCCACGCAAGCCCGTAGGTTGCTATCAGAGAGTACCCATGGAGAGACAGAACTCCATAGTAACCGGCACACTATACTCCATGTATAGCCCATAATGAGTCGGCCTGGATGTAGCCTCTGGTTGCCAAGCTTTAGGCCAAGGCGCGATGCGAGATTCCTCTTCCTGGCAGGAATCTGTAGGACACGGGGACGATGTTGTCGACGAAGGGCGAAAAAGATTGTATCAAACCCCATCCTTCTCTCATATACGGCGAAGTGTAACATTTATGCTATGTTGGTTGTGTTGATGAACGTGTCCAGGGTCCAGCTAAACATCGTGCAACTCCCAGTGATCTCGTCAGCTTGGACCCCTAATGCGTGGAGGCCGGGGAGTTGTTGTGTTGTAAGGGCGGCTTGGGGGCAGAGGGGCTGAAAAAGAGGCTGGTCGTATTGTTAACCTCAAACAGCGGGCCAGGTTTGGTAGGCGAATCGTATCGTGCTCTTGCTGGCTCGGGAGCTTGCGCATCTTCCCGGATATGAAATCTGCCTTGTTATGCAGGTATTGTGCAGGGATGGGCCATCTCTAGGATGTATGCAGATAGCAGTGATGTACAGCATTGGTACAGCTGGTATGGCTTAAGCGGTGACTTCTGGTTGGCTCACTTTAGATACTCTTACAATGTTTGTGTCTACCGAGTGCTGGTGTGTTTAAGACCCGCCCTCATCGAGCGGAAAGGCATGCTGCCGAAATATATCTTTTGATAAGCTTCTATAGTGTGGGCACGATAACGCTTTTAAGCCAAGCAATCTGGTCACTGTTGGAAACATGCTTGGTAGAATCACAAGCAGTTGAATCTGTAACGAAGATCAGAATAAGCATGGGTCTGACATTGTTGTCCGTCTTCTTGTAGTCAGAAGCCTGAACATGGAAGGCAGCCTTGGTGTTACCGGGCTACCCCGCACTTGTCCTGAGCATCTCGATCCAATTTCAGTTGACATAGCAGTGAAGAAGATCACAACAGCCAGATGGGATAAACATGTCACACTGACTGGCACTGTTTCCTTTTAAGCTTATGGTAATGATGATCAAGATCTGCAAATTAGGTTATTGCCTGGTGGACCAACATTCAGTATTACCGGTCGGGTTTGGCTCAGATGGCCACCTACTGCTCTAAGCGCATCAGAGGATGTTACAGAATCTAGAATCTCAGCACCAGGAATACGATTCAAACGGTGAGCACAGGAGACGACAACTGCACGTCTATGCATTACAGTAGACCGTAAAGGCGCAGGGAATGTAGTTCTAGCGTCAAGATTGTCCCCCAAGCCAGCCGATGAATCTCCCATTACCCAGTAAATGTAGGCCAGCAGCCTCTCAGGCCATGCATCAAGGGAGATCTGACAGTGTCGCTTATCATTGTCATGCCAGACCTGAGGCGCAGGCCAGGCGCCCAACTGACAGGTAGTAGCGTCAAGTTATAATTATTCAGAGCAGCAATGGACCTGCATTTGAATACGACAGTATAACCAGGCAAGCACTCGCAACGGTGACTGAGACACTGCCTCCGCCAACAGACTTGCAATCATCTCATAAGTACGGAGAGAGACAGCAATCTGTCTCCCTTACCGAGTCGCATGAAGCTGCCCCCTGAATCTACCTTATCACCATAATCGAGGGCATCGACAATGTCTTAGAGTAATGCTGTGAAGTATAATTGATCTCTACTATCAATGGGGAATCTTACTCATACTTATTTTCAGCCACTTGGTGTTGTTGACGATCTTAACGTATGACATGTAAAGTGCCTCGGATCGGTCGCCAGGGATCCTGATCATCTCACTTGCAGGGTGTTTAACAACGGCTGCAGGGGTTCCGCAGATGGGCTATAACACCGAGCATAAGGGCTCAAGGGTCGGTCGGCTTGAGAAAGGGTTAAAAATATCAACGATCAAAGGGCCCCTTTTTGGCCAGACTCGCGCACCGTGCAGATCCATCAAGTAGGTGGTTAAAACTTGCTTGGCTCTGGAAAGAGTCGAGAGTACGACGGTGGTCATGGGTAATGCGTTACGGAACAAATACTGAAGGTTGGGGTTGCCGAAGGCTGAAACAGTTGAAGACCCAGAATACTGGAGAGGGGTTACATCACTACCCGAAGCGCTTTGTGCCTGCCAAAACTATGAAAGGATTCGATGATATGGACCCTGGCTAGTACAGTACAATGAACAACAATCTAAGAACAACACATAAGGCAGTGCAACTGTTTGTGGATGTTGTTGATTCTGTTGTTGTCCTGGATGTCTGACTCGCTGAATAACACCGTCTTTTCTTCCCTTTTAGTTTTCCTGCCGCCAGGCCGACTGCGCCCACTAATGCAGGCCAACATTAAGATCGGACATGAGACATTCCCATGGTAGGCCGATTTGTGG